TCACACAAGTTTTCATTTTGTGTGTGTTTGCACACACTCTGTATTTTACATCTGAAAGCATTAATATTAAAGTTTAAAACCAAGATCAGTTTTCATATAAGCAGCTTGGGGCTTGTTGTTTAATCCATAAAGTCACTTATAAATATGGAGAGTTATAGGTTTTTTTGGAATTATAAATGAATACAGTCACATATTTGGGCTTGTTAGTGCTTGGCCATATCACATTACATTTCGGCTGCTTCATTGTTATTAGGCGAGATGATGTTTCTCACTGTTGCAAGTCACTTATTTTAGGCTTGTTTTGTCAGACTAGTTTCATTCTTTTTATAGGAAGTTTCGCTAAGATGCATCCAACCTCATAATCACAGATTTCAGTCTGTCTGCAACATTCAGAAATTTTTTATGGATATAAGCGACTTTAATTAGGCATACACTCATTTTGAATGCACTTCAGAGCCCTGTGCATAGTTACTGTTAAGGAACAGTAGTGGACATTTAACGGCAGATTCTAGCCAGAATCAATGTGTCTTGGATGATATTCAGGCCTTGGATTGGGAAATCCTGCTTTAGCAATTACAGGAGAGATGGTCAAGGTGTGGGCCGCCATGTAAAAACTGATGGCCAACACACACACACACACACACAAAATCTAAATCTTTGCCTGAAAGTATTGGTGCAGAAATATTTTGCCAGTCTTCTCACATGGCTTTATCTTTATTTTGATATTTCTCCGCTTGTTATGATGATACAGAGTCGTATGATTCCCTGTCATTTCCCCATCTCTCTATTCCTGAGGTTCATTAGCATAGCAGCTGCTGAGTGCAGGGTGTGTGAGGTGGAGACGGCTGGTGTGTGCGTGTGTGTGTGTGTGTGTGTGAGAGAGAGTATGTTTTGGAGGGGTAAATGTGGGGGGGATCTAATCAATGGTGGTCCGTCTGGGAGCTGAATAGCGATGAAGCAGAATCCAGCAGGCTGGACAAAAAAAGAGGAGAGCATAGAATAGAACGAGAGAATGAATGTGCTTGTCACTGTGTGCTTGAAAAAGCACAGAGCGGAGCGAAAGAATGAAAGAGAGTTCAAACAGGAGAGGAGGGTAAGGAAGGACAGGCCTTGCCACCTGTCTCATTCTCTCTGTATTTTTCCTCTCGGTTTTCAATACGAGAGAACTTTGTTTTACATATTTAACAGCATGCATTAGTGGGTTTCTCATATTAAGCAAAAGTAAGCAGGTTTCTTTGCTTTGACAGTGTTCAAGATCACTGATTTTAGAAATCTACATATCCGCTTATATCACCTGTTAGTCAGCCTAGTGCCTACTACATCGTTTTTTTGTTTTGTTTTTAAATGCCAAAGCAATCATATATAGGACAAGGACATCGTAAGTTGAGCACTCAGTCAGAGCAATTGAATAGTTTTACAGAGAATAAAGCGTGTAACATTTCATTGCAAGTTTAATGAACCAAGAGAGAGAAATGCGGGTCTGCATAATTAATAACATATTAATGACTATTTACATATTTATATAAATGTATATTTATAAAGTGTATAACTAATATATTACATGTAATATATTATAATTTATATAATATTGATTTTAATTTTAATTATTAATCTAGAGCTAATTATTTTACAATAAGTTAAGTAAATGTGATGCTCCAAAACTAAATACAATGTTGGTCTGATTATAAAATGTTACAATGTTGGTCTGAATACCACAAACGAACAATAAAACCATTGCATCTTTAACACTATAGCTCATTCCCACCAGCAGATGAGTGCATTTATTGGATTGAAAGGAACTTTTCCTGGTAATAGTTGTGGTCATGACTAAGCCATTGCAACAATCATTCATCTTCATTCCCTTCTGGCTATAATGTTCCCTGCCTTCTGAGAATTTGCAAAATTTTTTGCAGCCACAAACATGTTTTTCTCTGCATGTGTGTACTTGCACCAGGGCAAGCACAATGTTGTGCGGCCTTTGTGGAATTACACAGGCAAGTATGTGAAACTACCGATGCGAATCTGTCCAGGCGGAGAGCTCGTTTTGATCTCTGAAGCACTTGCGGTGGATTTCCACAACTCTGAAGGTACGGGGAAAACAAAACATTCCTGCGCACCGAAAAAAGAAAAACCTCCAACTCAAAGCCTCCACTTCACATTCTCCGCTCTAGAAGAGGAGCATGTTTCCTTCTCGCTCTCAAGTACATTCACAAAATTCTTTTTCACATTGTTGGGTTCACACATCCCTCCCTCTCCAGCTAGCGGTGGGGGGAGGCTAGCGCGCAGAACGACGGGACTCTGTTAAAATCATTTCCAAATTCCTGCGATGATGTGTGTCGGGACTGAGGCACATGAAGAATCTATTAGGGGGCCTCTCTATTGCACTCTGGGAAGGTGGCCAACTCAGCCGCCGGACAATGGAAATCCAGCTCAACAATAACATCCTGCCCGGGGAATGGAGGGGGGCATGGAGGGGGGTGGAAACAGAGAAGGATGCCATTGAGGTCACAGTCTTCTAGTGAGGGTTGTCTTCAAAAGCATGCAGTAAACTAGGTTTACCTGCAGAAAACAGCAAGCACTCGGAGCGGTTTCCTTGTGTTCTGCTGCAGTTCGGATTACCGTTGCAACAAAGCAAGCTCTGGGCGATGTCAGATCAAGTTTTGGGCTTATTTGTGAATTTCAGAAATGCACGAGCTGGATATTCCACACTTTGCAGTGCACTAATAAATCAGAACAGAAACAGAAATCAGCACACCAACTCTCTCCTTTCATGAATGCAGAATACATGACTTAATTTCTAACGCTGTTAAGTGTTTCGAAGTTCACTTTCACTGTAAAAAGTGATTAGTTGACTTTACTTAAAAAAAGTGAGGAAACCTGTTGCCTTAAAAGTAAGAAATAAACTTCATGCGTAATTGAAAAAATTAAGTTATGTGAACTTGACAATTCCACATAACTTCCTTTTTTCAATTACACTTACTCAATTTTAAGGCAATCGGTTTCCTCACTTTTTTAAGTTAAGTAAATAAACCTCATGTGCAATTAAAACATTTTTCTTATGTGGAATTGTCAAGTTCACATAACTTAATTTTTTTTCAATTGCGCATGAAATTTATTTCTTATTTTAAGGCAATGGTTTCCTCACGTTAAGTCAACTGACCACTTTTAACAGTGTTGGAAGTCCAGAAGAAACTGAGGCAGAACTGCATGCAAATGAACAATTAAAAGTGCTTGATATGCGTTTTCATAAGTTTGTAAAAGTATGAAGAAATGCTTCGAGGCTCCCAAAGAACAGAAGGGCAGAGTTGCTGCATGCAAAGAGTAACATAAAACCCACGCAAACACACGGGGAGGGGATCTGTCTTTAAAACAAAATTACCCACAACCCCCTGCACTCTTTTATCCAGCATATGAAAGGACTAGGCCAAATGAATGACCAAAAGGAGAGAATGGAAACTGGGGTCAGGTTGGCCCAGAGAGGAGGCCTAAACCAGCCCAATTCTTCCCTAAAGATAGAAAGAAACTCTCACAGCCACACATTGAGGAAGGTTTAATTATTTCTTTACTGGCTTGAACACACACACACACACACACAAACACACACACATACATACAAAACAAATATACAGCACTCATATTCTCACCACACATGAATCACAGTGTTACAAATGTTCAACAACAAAAAAAAAACGTACAAACAAAACACACACAAAAAAGGAAAAGATAAAGTCAACACGGAAGAACATTCGCATCACTCATAAAACTTTTGTTCGCTGGAGACACAAGATGAAAAATAACTTGGTCCAGATAAAAGAAAAGAAAAAATACAACAGCACTTTTACTCATTCATATACACCTATCCAGTCATTTAACCCCCATGCCATAAATGTTATGACAAATAGTGGGATAAAATAACTATACATCGTGCAATTTATTTTTGTTACAATGATCTTACCATCACAAGTATTATTCCCCTTTATTAACATCAGGAGGAGAGCACTTCAAATAAGAAAGTGCTCTGAGATATCAGCGTCGATATATCCATATATACCATAAATGTATACACATACACCAGATCACAGAGATACAAACATCTTTGCGAACGTAATGTTATACGATGTAACACACAAAAAGAGACAACATAACCTGGAGCTTTTTTTTTTATACAATAGTATTTTGTTGTGATCCTTTTTTCTATTTAGAAAAAATAAAATGTTGACCTGAAGTCAACGAATTAACGACAGTCATCATCAGTGCAATATTTTCAACAAGAGTAAAAATATCAAGTTTAAGACAAGCGATGCATATTTGTTCTGCCTATACCAATCGAATAGATGATCATGAGAATCACATCTGTGGTGTCCCCGGGTGTGCGAGGAGCTCCTGGTGTGGTTCACCAGGTGGAGCGACAGGGGCTGGAAACATCAGCAACACCACTGAACTGTGGCATGAGTACAATCACACATGCTCGCACAACTGCATGGGGCTTCTCGCAAAAACACGACAAAGAAATCTGAATCTAACTGATTTTGTCCTCGTTCACTCACCGTTGGCCATTGTATCAAGAAAAAAAAAAACTTACATAAAAGCAGCATTGAAACAAACATCAGGTGCCATGAGTCTTAAAGGCGGCAGGCAGTCTTTTTGAATGAATCTGTCAATGTTTCCTGCAACAGAAGTTATAGTCTTCTCAATGTTCATATAGTCCTGCTCAGTAGTAACTATTGGGTAAGCCTCAGCTCCTGCAGTTACCCGACCAGGCACTAGGGGGCGTAAAAGGCTCCACATATATGTGCAACAAAACTCCCTGCATTTAATAGTCATGCAACGCATTTCACTTTTTGTAACTAAAATGGAAACAAAAAATGGCAATGCAAAATTAAGCACTTGGTTGAAATAAAAATGCTTGACGAAAGGAAAAAAACGTTTCGAATAACCAATGGATCTTAATTTTGGTTCACGGAGATAAATTGTCCCGAGTGAAGATTGTAAAAAAAAAAAAAAAAAAAAACCCAACGAGAATGGCAATAAGAAACCATCAAGTACAATTACCCAAACAGGGCATGCTGATTCTGTTGAGCACTAGTGGGTAACAACTGAGAAGGGTTAAGAAGAAGGCTTGAGAAAGAGAGCATAATATGATATTGTCGAATACTTTCAAGTCGAGGTAGCTGATGCAGAGAACCAGAATAAAAGTAGAAGGGGACGCATTTCCCGGGGGGGAAAAAAAGAAAAAAGAAAAAAAGTTGTACGTGTAGGGGGGCCGTGGAGCGGAATCTCCACACGGGACAGTTTAGCCCTGTAACGAGTCCGAAGCAGCTTTAGGTCACCCTACATACTTTTACACTTAGGCTATAGTCTTAAAAATAACCACAACATAATTTAAATGCATCATCTCAATGTACCTTCATAAATAAAAAGACAAACCCAGCCTGTATTCACAGTGATGACCAGGGTGTTAATTCAAAAATACTGAAAAGAAGATTATAAAGTGTGTCCCAAAGGCGACTTTTCCTGACGTTTTGATTAAAAAAAAAAAAAAAAAAAAAAAAAAAAAGCAAAAGCAGCGGTTTTTAGTAACACGTTAACCATAGACGTGGGTCGCACTCGCCTGAAAGCTGTGTGGAAGCCGTCTGCTAGGTGAAGGCAGAGCACAATACACTACTTGTACAGAGAAACACAGTAAAGCTATGTGTACAGTACTTAAGAACAAGTCAATTGTTATTTCCGGGGACACAATTCAGCACTGGTCACCAATGCCACACGATCTGATTGATGAAACGACTTACGGTTTGTATCAAAGACAGTGTTTAGCCAGAGGATGGCCTTCATTCTGGAGTTCAACTATTCCAGCATTCAGCCACAGCATCAAGTGCCATCTCGATTTCTCCAGGTGGACAGGTCAAGAGGTCAAGCCCTGGGTAAAGCCACACAGTCCAGATCTGATGACTTACACATTCAATAAAAAGCTATAGTACCAACGCACATCCCCAAACAGTTTCTCGTCGCCAGATCTGACCATATACGTTACTCACGGGAAAGAAAAAGGCTACAGCCCTCATTTTGGTTTAAGGTACAAGGGAACTTCGCCGCTGTCTGTCGTGTCAAAGCTTGGCAGATCAATGCTAGTTTCAAACGAGCCCGGTCTTTCCGCGTGTTTCTACCGGATCACCGCGCGCCGGAGGAGTACTTGGCCTTGGTGATGAGGTATAACACGATGTCTTGGTGTCCTCCAAACGCGGCGATGTGCAACGCGCTCCATCCCTCTCGGTTCGCCAGCCGAATATCGGCACCGAATTTCACCAGCAGTTTGACGAGCTCCAAATTCCCGTCGATAACCGACTGATGCAGAGCCGTCTGTCCCTCGGGGCCGAATGAGTTGACGTTAAACTCGCAGTTGGTCATGTTCTGCAGAAGCGAATGGAGCTCCTTCGTGTTGCCTTTCTTCACCGCCTCCTGGAAGACTCTCTGCGGCGCCGAGCACGTCGATATCTCCGCCTGGCTCATGATGCTTTAACCGCCTCTTTTCGCCGTTACCGTCTCGGGAACTTGGATATAGTCGCGGCTTTACTGGACTAAAACCAGTTGACTAGCGTATATCCCAAAAAAGGACCAGTAAACGACACACTTGGTGTGTAAAATGCAGTCACTGACTATGGTGTAGCAGCTATATATCCAAAGACCTAGCGAGAAAGTTCAATGATCCACAAGGTGCAGGTCTCCGTGTGCGTGTGTGTGTGTGTCTCTCAGTAGCAGCACCAGGTTATGGCAGAATATGGAGTTATTTAGTGTGAGAAAGGAGGCGTGTGAACGGCGGTATCTCCGGTTAAGCGCATCGAGGGGCCGTTAGGTTTAAAGACGTCTGAGGTAAATTTACCTCAGCAAATGCGTCTCTCGCGTCCCGCTGTGGTTTATTTGGCAAGGGTGACTGAAATAAACACAGAAACTGTTAAAGGACTGTCCCACGTTACATCTAAAACTGAACAAGTAAAGATGTACTTGCCTATTTACGTGTGGACGGGTAGAAGTGACTCAAATAACTGCCCGCTTGCCCGCTTCTGTTTGTCCGTCGCGCGGTCCCGGTAATTCTCTGCCCAGAGCTGTTGCCAGGGGGATATTTTAGACGAACTACTTTGCATAACAATACGTCTCTATTGAATCAAGTATTGTGGAATGGGAGGTGTTGTGCGATGCTGATTGGCTGAGGGGTTGGCTTGGGGGAGTGGCCACGCGTTGAAACTGAGAAATGGGCGTGTCTCGTTGCCCAAACATCCCACAGTAATAAAACGACTGCGTTATTGGGTTATTATGTGTTAATATGCACACATACGAGAGAGGAAAAATCTTTAAACTGATAAACACCCACTTGAAAGATGGACATAATTCGACAGCAAGGCTTGGGTTGGGCTTTTATTCAGAAACCGACCATTACATATCTTGCCAAAAGCAATCCGTATGCAATTTGGTATCATAGCATTATTTAAGGAAAATATTCACCTGTTATTACGGTATAAAACAGAGAGACCCACTTTGTGTTTTTTAGACAATTTTTCTCTGAACCTTAAAATACCTTGGCTTCAAAAAGTATCTGGATCCATTTCTCCTTATTTTTTTACCTGCCGTTCAGATCAAATCAGATTTTTCCAATTATTGTTATAGATAACTTTCTTACCTGTCTACACCAAATGGCAATAACCATATCTATGGCAATAACCGTTTCTTTATTGGGGTTGCTAAAAAGTAACACGAAACACCTTACTCTGAACCATTAGACTTGTGAAGCAGCCATTCCAGCTGTTTAAAGTCAATAACACAGTCTGTGCGACTTCCTGTGCGCGTCCACAGAGGTGCGCGTCGCGCGCGGTGTACAAAATTCCCGGTGTCACGCATGCGCCCTACAGTCAAACCTGAAGATTCAGCCCACTCTGCGCATGCGCGTGGCAGGAACTTGAGTGACACGCAAAGCAGCTGTACCGTGGGAACCGGACGACTGCAATTTCTGCGCAGCGCACTCGCCTATCCTCACACGCCGCAGTTTGGCGTGTAAAGCCACACACACACACACACACACGCAGTATAGTGTGCAGCCGTTTGCTCCATTTGTACAGTAGCTTCAAACATTTGATCTGCCAAACTGTTCTGTTTCACTTACAACCGCTCGTGCGTGCGTTATAACCTGCACGTAGGCTACTTGTTAGCACAGTAAAATGAGTTTTTCATATGACCAAGACTGTTGGTGGCTTAAACGTAAATTGACATAGGGTGAATTCAGGTTAATGTGACACTTTTTCCCAGTCATCTCAATGGCAAAAAGTGTGGCAATCAACCTGAATTCACCTATAAATTGACAAAGATCCGCAAATATCCAACAACAACAAACAATTTTTCGTTTGTTATATTATTGTCATCATTTTATTTTCACAGTTCCTTTTTACTGTAGTTTTAACATACAGTCATACATTCTGAACAGGTTTCTGAGTGAAATAGTAACTAACTGTATTACTCTTACAATTTGCATCTACATATAGCCTATGTGTCCTTAGAATACAGTAACCCACAATAAAACATATCCCTGCCCGACTAGTTTATACACCTCTGTCAAAAAAGTGCTCAGAATGACTTCAGATTGTCACTGGCTGTCAATATGTTGCCTACGGGTCTGCAACCAATGTAAAAATGTGTTTTTACAAAAATACAATATTAAATGAACTTCAACCAAAGCTAAATTTAAGAAGCCGAAGTTCAGACTAAATGTTTGATTTCCCCACAATATAATGTGTGTAAAATTAAGAAAGTAAAATTCAAATGTGATGTACAAGTATATGACCAGTAGCACCCTTTGCTATGTTTCATCCATTTCACTTGAAACGGGTTTAACATAAGGGGCCTTTGCTTGCTCTCGAAAAAAGCCCCGCCCCCCGCCATCACCCCACACACACCAGGGGTGGAACTTAACAGGGGCTTGGGGCAAAAATTCTACCAAAATTAATAATAATAAAAAAATGCGCCCAAAAACCAAGATATGGTGCGAAAAAAATCACTGTAATATATTTTCTAAAATATATATTCATAAGCAATACCATGCAAGTAAAAGTGCGGTTTTCCGAAAAACAATGATAATGATTTTATAGGTGACTTACATTTTAGACACAATATTGTCAATATTTGTCTGTTTTTCCTATTTGCCAACGAAAGTAGTTTCAAACAGTACAGCCATTCTGCTTTGTCTCTGATTGAATCCGCCGTTTTGAGGGAATCGGTTGAATGAATGATTCAATGACTAACTCGTTAAGACAACGATTTGCCGCCAGCTACTGGTGGTTTTAGTATCATTTCATTTTAGCTGAGGGACGAAGATGGATGCTGTTCTTGTTTTCGGTCATGATTGTAAAAATTGTTCTGGTTAAAGGAGTAGAACGCGTTTATAAATAGACTATTCAGAGCTAAAGATAAAGATTAGATAATTGCAGTCGCATTGCAATGGTTTTGTGTCTTTTCTTCCTTTTCTTTGAAACTGGCCTCCGAATTGCAAAGGCCGCCACTGTAATGCACATTGTTCATTATTTAATGGCTTTGCAATGCCTCATAAAGTAGGTAGTTTGGAATATGCATGTTCAATGCAACACTCAGTTTTACACGATTTGATTTATGCATTTAAGTCTTTTTCATGGCAACACCCAGTTGTCCAAAAATTAAAAACTACGGGTAAAAGTTCCACTAATCTTTGGTTATGAGTCGGATATAGAGTTCTCATGTTAACATTCTTTTTGTACATGAAACTCAAAACTCAAAAATAAACCGTGTGAAACCAGACTTCACACATACACAGACTCACTGGTTTAACATGTGGAAGTGATAACTTGTCCACATTATTAATTATTTGTAGTATCTTACCATGTCTTTCCCCCTCCATCATATATCCTTTAATCTCTCGTGTGTGAATAACGAATTTCAGGCATTCTGTGAAGTATAGCAGATTTCAGTATGCCCACAAATTATATTTCAACTGGCTAAAGGATAAAGCTTTGGGATGTTTTCTTTCCCAAGATGTGAAAGAATGAAGCGATGTGCACTTGTGAGGTATTTGACCATGTGTGAAACAGAAGTGTTCTTTAAGACCTGCCAGGGTAGGGCTGAAATATCTCAGCACATCTGTCGGCTAATCAGAAAGATGTGTCCGTGCGATGGCCTTTTGGAAAATATTTGCTGGGAAAACGGAGGGCCTCTCCCAGTGCCCGGTTATCTCTGGACCCGGGACTTTGCACACCTTCTGCTACTGGTAGTTAGATTTTCCTACAGTGGCCCCCGAAAAGCTTCGACACTTGAGGCATGCGAAAAACGTACGAATGTCACAGCGATTAATAAAAACATCAAAACTAAAGTGGAATTTAGGAAAAGCCAATGCATCATATCCTGAAAACTGGCTTTAGCAGCAAATTAGATGTGACCAGTATCATTTATGTCCTGTTTTTATTGTGACTATAACATTTACACACAAACATTGAAATACAGATTTACAAAATGTGGCAACAAAATACCTAATATTTTTACTATCTTGCAATGAACTGAATGAATCTGAACTTTGTATTTTGTGTAGTTTGAACAGCAGGGTTAATCTGAAAGGCATTCAGAGATTTAGATGCTCGCTCTCACTGAAACTATGTGTCATTTATGGGGGAAATACTTGTGCACCTTTTCAAGCTAAAAATGCTAATTTTCCCATTGTATTTAATCCTTTTGTCTTATTTTTTTGAATGATAATAAGTGGATAGTGTTGAAAATGAGGACAAAAAGTGTTGTGGTTGTCAAACGTTAGTGGACCGATCTAACGGCAATTCGTACGAATTTTACGAGGTGGCTAATTCGTACTAATTCATACGACCTCACTCGTACAAATTCGTACGATTTTTGCTAATTCGTACATATTTTACGAGTTACCAAATTCGTATGAATTCGTACGAATGACCTTCCCCTGACCCCGCCCCTAAACCTACCCATCACGTGGGTTTAGACAAATCGTACGAATTCGTACGAGTGAGGTCGTATGAATTAGCCAACTTTTAATCACTCGTACGAATTGGTCGTGAGATAGCGTTGGATCATGTTATAATGTGATGAACTACACATACTCTGAATGACGCATATGTGAACTTGAGAAGAAACTGACTTCACATCTACTAAAAATAACCAGTTCATTAAATATCTATGCAAAACTGTCTCAGAAAAGACAGAAAACTCCAGATTTATTTAAAAAAAAAAAAATTTCGCACAGAAATTGCTAGTAAATTTCACTAATTATTTCAACGAAACTGCAAGTAACTGAATCAAACATGAAATTTTGATGTAGAACGACTGAAATATAAAACTCGAATAGGGCCCATCTTTGAAAATGTACAGTGTAAACACAGTAAAATTTGAGACTTTAACTGTGTGAATACTTTTTAGGGTCACTGTATACTTAGAGGGTCAATGACATTTTTTTTAACACCTTTGAAAAGTTGTATTCCTACACACATACATCAAACCTGAATGGGAATTTTAAGTAACGCAGTTTGAGTCGACATCAAAGCAACGAGCTCTAATGAGGCGCTAATGAAGCCGCCGCTGAGAATAGCCTGAGCCATTTGCTCAATGTCAGATGTACAGTACTTAACAGGAAGTGTCATTCCACCTGGGCCTGTGCCACCGGGTCACATTTATCAGAAATATAACCCAGTGAGAGCCAGCTAAAAACTCCTCCCAGTGTCAACGGGTGCAAAGATGCCTTATTAAAGATTAATACGCGTCATAAAAGCTGGAAAGTCGATCTCTGTGGCATCTAAATCTCCGAATGCCTTTCAGATTAACCCTGTTTTGTTCAAATCTCAAAACACAAAGTTCAGATTCGCATTCAGTTCCTCGCAGGACAAAGTGAAAATATTTGGTTTCTTCATGTTAGAAGAACGCTCATGGCGGTTTGCAAGTATGTATGAATGCTTGAGTGCAAATAAAATTTATGAAATTGGTCACATCTAATTTGCTGCTGGTTCCAGTTTTCAGTATACGATTCATTGGCCTTTTCCCTTCCTTTTAATCAAGATACGAGCTCTTTGTTCCAGTTTTTTTTTTTTTTTTAACAATTTAAACATCCTACTGAGACTGTACTTTTCATTGACTTACTTGAGCACATGTAGTTTTGTAGTAAAACCATAGTACTTACAAAATGAACCATGGCTTTACTACAGTAGCATGGTTTAACTGTGATTTTAGCAGTAAAACCAAATAACTACCAAAACAGCATAGTTTAATAACTATAGGCTACATTTTGTAGCAAAACCATACTCACTTCAAGACTAACCCTGATTTTACTACAGAATTTGCAGTAAAACCATTGTAAATAAAAGATTTCCATGATTTTACTACAACATGGTTTAATTATGTAGTAAACTAATAGTAACTACAAGATTAACCATGATTTTACTACAATAACCATGAATTTTGTAGTTAAACCAAAATAACTAAAATCTAATCTGGTTTTACTACAGAATTTGCCATAAAACCATTGATTGTAACTAAAAGATTACCATGATTTCACTACAATAACCATGAATTTTGTAGTAAAACCACAAAAATAACCTGATTTTGCAACATAATTTGCAGTAAAACCAATGTAACTAAAATAATACAGTGATTTTACTACAAAAACCTTGCCGTTAAATAAACAATTTAGTTTTAAAACCAGTACCTGCAAAATGAAATACAGCACCTACAGCTTAACTATGGTTTCGTAGTAAAATCATAATAAACACAAAACTAAATTTGGTTTTACTGTAGTATGTGTACGGACTCATTTATCCCGTGGGAGGAATAATGATATGCATGATATTATAAAGAAGTCCTTTTGCTTTGCGTTTTACTCCTCAGCAACTACCAAGCGAGCCAGTGCAGTCCAGCACACACTGCACAATGCAGGCGCGCGGGGGGAGCGTTCGGAGGTCTCTGGCGCCGGAGCCAGACAGCGGAGAGGAGGGGGAAGAGCGCAGGCAGAGGCCCCTGAGTCACCGGCCCGGGGAACCTGTGGGGCTAGCATGACGTCTCAATAGAGGGAGGGTCTTCAGAGTCCGATTCAGCCCCAGTACCACGTGCTCAAGGAGCGTGGGAAAGAGGCGAGCTTTTCTTCCCAGCAAAGAAAGGGCCAGTATCGAATAACAGAAGTGCAGAAGAGCCGGGGCGGCCTGAACAGGGCTAGGTAGAGCTCCTACTGCAAGCAGACAAGATTATCTCCAGCTAACGCAAACACGCAGAGCTACGGTTACAGTCAACACTTTGATGCTTATATTCAGGGAGCGCACGTGTAAAAGAGGACACAGATATAGGCAGCTCTGTTTTGAGTGCGACTTTATTGAACTTGAACTGAAGGACTGCCTGTATGCGGCCCATCCTGTTATGAATTGGCAAAACTTGGAAGGAAAACAGCGTCTGGCATGATTTCAGCAGCGCTGTCTTCGGGGAACCCAGGCATATTATTCTGTAGTTTTGACAGATTTACAAATGGAGATATGACTTAAAGACTAAACATAAACAACGTCTGATCTAAAAAAAAAAAAAAAAAAAGCAAACATACATTTTTTTTGGTTCAGAGATAACTGCAAGAGAGATAACATGCTACAAATTTACATTAAGCCTAACAATCAGAAAAAAATGGATGAACAAGATTTGTGCAAAAACAAAAAAACAACCGTCTTGTGTCGTTTTGAAGGGGTTATTAGTAAATCCTGTTTTTATTCACAACTAGTATTATTAAAACCTTTAACACATTTTATGAACAACTTAGGTTTGTAAACAATTAATGGCATTAAGTGTATTGTATTGTGTAAAACAAATTTAGATCTAAAAAAAAGTTATTTTTTAAAAAATAGAGAAAAACAAGTTTAAATGAAATATTTTCGTCATTTTATGAGTGAATTCAACGACAATCCTGTTTTTATACCAATTTGTGATTCATCTTTTTATGAAGTGTCATTAAAAACCCTTAACACTTGTATGTTATGAACAACTTTAGGGTTGTAAACATTTATGGCATTATGTGTATTATTTGGTGCAAAACAAATTTGAGTTAATTTTGTTTTACAGTGCAAAACACAAAATGAAACCTCCCGAAATGTTTAATCGATGCTTTTGCACATGTATCATGACACAGTGTAGCAAATAAAAAAATACCTCCTTAAAAAGAATTAAAAAAAATATGAAAAAAAAAAAAATGGAAAAAAAAGCAACAGCGAGAGTTCATTACACCTGGACTCTCTCGCGGTCGATCTCATGCGAGGCTTCCGCTGACGTGCAGGACCTTCTGGAACTGGGACAGCACCCGGTCGTAGTGCGTCCCCTCCCAGAACACCTTTCCACAGCCGGTGCAGATGAAGTACACGGGGATCCGGGGAAGGAGGCCTGGGGGAACCGTCTCCAGCTGAACTTCGGCCCCGCTGGGGAATCTGAAGGTCTGGGGGTCCAGGGCCGTGTCGGGGGCCCAGCGGCAATGAGGGGTGAACTCGGGGCCCTCTGGGGGCCTCCAGCTATTGTAATCCTCTTGTGCTTCATCCTGCGGTTCGCAGTCATCCCGCTTAGATACGATGTCCTGAAGAAGACCTTTGAAGAGAACGAAAAAAACAATAGAGCTCAAAGCGTGCTAAAAACTGGGGGGAAATACTGTTCAAATCAAATGCTAATTCACTGGAAATTAAATAATGGTGGAAAAGAGTCTGGATTAAATCTGTAAATACATTTTAAGATGTACATTCAAATATATATATGCTGTTCTGAAAACAAGCGCCAACCTCTCTCTTTCATCATGCGGGTCATTTTCTCTCGGGACAGCTTAAAGTACTCGTTACAGTTGCAAGCCTTGAAACAGGAGACAGAAAAAACACAGCGATATGTAATAAAACATTATGACGTCATGCAAATCAATTCACCAACAAGATGTTAAATCAAGTGTTAGACAATAAAATCTCTTATACGGTTTATACTTAATCATTCTATTTTATTATTATTTTCCACATTTTAGAATAACAGTACATATATCAAAACTATGGAATAATTAATATTAAATACTCATATTGTGCTCTTTTATATGAATCAAAAGTGCAGTGCATTCTAGTATTTAAGGAATGTGATGTGAATAAATAAAACAATACATAAATAAAATATTAACTTTAAGAAATGTATATACATTATACAAAAATAAATGTATATATTTACAATTTAAATTTGTCTACAAAACTCACAGCATTTATACCATACACACTAACGTTCAATAATTTGGGGTCAGTAATATTGTTTTAATGTTTTTGAAAGAAGTCTCTTCTGCTCAACAAGACTGCGTTTATTTGATCAAAAATACAGTAAAAACTGTAATAATGAGAAAAAAAATACAGTTTAACATATATTACAATAGAAAACTATAATTTATTCCTGTGATCAAAGCTGAATTTTCAGCATCATTACTCCAGTCTTCAGTGTCACATGATCCTTCAGAAATTACTCTAATATGATGACCAAATCAAGAAACAGTTATTATTATCATCATCAATATTGAGAACAGTTGTGCTGATTAATATTTTTCTAAAAACAGTGATAAATTTAAGGGTTTTTTGATGAATAGAAAGTTCAAAAGAACCATTACTTTGTAACACTGTTATATGTAAATATCTTGGCTGTCACTTTTGATCAATTTAATGCTTCCTTGCTGAATAAATTTATTCTTAAAAAAAGAAAGAAAAAAAAACTACTGACCCCAAACTTTTTAACGATGTATATATATACACATTGGTGGATAGTAGGTTGTGAACAGTCTGGTAAGTCCCATGTCAAACTCTCTCACGCACACACACACACACACACACACACACTCGTCTCCAGTGACGCAGGCTAGGTGTGAGGTTAAAAGTTTGCGTCGCCTCTCTTGATTTCACACTTCAGTGTGGCTTCTGTCTCATCCTCAGCGAGGAACCGATTCCCACCCTTTCAAACAACACCCGGGCGCTAAAAGCCTCGTCACTAAACGCCATCTCCACCTCTGCAACGCCGTCCAGACTGAGACGTGCTAAACGGGACACCTTAACAGGACACTGACAATTCAGTCGGTGAACACATGGGACTGCAATTCTGTTCTCAGAAATTGAACTGAAATTGAAAGACTTCTCAGTTTAAAGGAACAGTGAGAAGTTTGAACACTCATTATTTTCTCACACTCGTGTGGTTTCAAATCCACTGCGGTTATTATTTCTGTCACACAAAAGGAGAAACTTTTCAGGCAGTCTTTTCTTTTATACAATATCAGTTCATAGTATATGGCAGTCAAGTTCCAACAAGGCCCCAAAACCCCCCCAAGAATTCAAGTTTACAACTTCCATATGACTTAAGACGACTTGAAATATAGAAAAGTGAACATTTCTTATATATATATATATACACTCACCGGCCACTTTATTAGGTACCCCATGCTAGTAACGGGTTGGACCCCCTTTTGCCTTCAGAACTGCCTCAATTCTTCGTGGCATAGATTCAACAAGGTGCTGGAAGCATTCCTCAGGGAGTTTGGTCCATATTGACATGATGGCATCACACAGTTGCCGCAGATTTGTCGGCTGCACATCCATGATGCGAATCTCCCGTTCCACCACATCCCAAAGATGCTCTATTGGGTTGAGATCTGGTGACTGTGGAGGCCATTTTAGTACAGTGAACTCATTGTCATGTTCAAGAAACCAATTTGAAATGATTAGAGCTTTGTGACATGGTGGAAGTAGCCATCAGAGGATGGGTACATGGTGGCCATAAAGGGATGGACATGGTCAGAAACAATGCTCAGGTAGGCCGTGGAATTTAAACGATGCCCAATTGGCACTAAGGGGCCTAAAGTGTGCCAGGAAAACATCCCCCACACCATTACACCACCACCACCAGCCTGCACAGTGGTAACAAGGCATGATGGATCCATGTTCTCATTCTGTTTACGCCAAATTCTGACTCTAACATCTGAATGTCTCAACAGAAATCGAGACTCATCAGACCAGGCAACATTTTTCCAGTCTTCAACTGTTCAATTTTGGTGAGCTCTTGCAAATTGTAGCCTCTTTTTCCTATTTGTAGTGGAGATGAGTGGTACCCGGTGGAGTCTTCTGCTGTTGTAGCCCATCCGCCTCAAGGTTGTGCGTGTTGTGGCTTCACAAATGCTTTGCTGCATACCTCGGTTGTAACGAGTGGTTATTTCAGTCACTGTTGCCCTTCTATCAGCTCGAACCAGTCTGGCCATTCTCCTCTGACCTCTGGCATCAACAAGGCATTTCCGCCCACAGAACTGCCGCTCACTGGATGTTTTTTCTTTTTCGGACCATTCTCTGTAAACCCTTGAGATGGTTGTGCGTGAAAATCCCAGTAGATTAGCAGTTTCTGAAATACTCAGACCAGCCCTTCTGGCACCAACAATCATGCCACGTTCAAAGTCACTCAAATCAACTTTCTTCCCCATACTGATGCTCGGTTTGAACTGCAGGAGATTGTCTTGACCATGTCTACATGCCTAAATGCACTGAGTTGCCGCCATGTGATTGGCTGCTTAGAAATTAAGTGTTAACGAGCAGTTGGACAGGTGTACCTAATAAAGTGGCCGGTGAGTGTATATAAAAAAAAAAAAAAAATTGGGGGTTTTAAACAACACAAGGCTAAAAAAAAAAGAAGTTAAATATGTACACTAGCGGATAAAAGTTTGGAATAATTGTTTTTGAAAGAAGTCTCTTAAAGACCCACTCCGATGAAAATAATGTTTTTCTAGGTGTTAACATGTTCTTGTGGCATTTTTCTTATGTTAGAGGACATATCTTGAGAAAAATAAGCTCAAAGTTGTATTTCTGAGTATTTCTACATTCAAATGGCTGTGAATCAGTAGCAGACGCTAAAATGCCGTTTAAAATAGACTGGAGTTGTGACGTAGTAACTCCACTGGGCGGGGCCACAAGCTTGTTAAAATTAATCGAAAGTGCCCCTCTCAAACAAATATCAATGATAATATTGTTTTCAATAAAACAAAATGCATTTGATTATAATTAACATGACAATGTGACAAAATTCACGTTTACTTGTATGTTTCTGTCGGTTTGAGCTGTCGTTGCCATGACTCGTTGCTATGGGTTGCGTCACTTGCGTGTCTTGCATCGGACTCGACTGAAGGGGTCAGTCTCCGTTTTCGAGGCCGAGGGTCAGTAATGTGGACGGCAGGAGCGCATAATCGTTGCAAAAGTTATGCGTTTTAAAACGAAAACGCACTGTACGGCTGGATAGCTCCAATATTGCTCTCAATTTTTGTTGCACCGGTAATGACAGGTTGGGGGTGTAAGCTAGCGGGAGAGACAGAGCTCTCAGCAACGGGGAGGGGGAGGGTCATCTCCGTGCCAACGGCTCCGCCCACAACGCAGAGGCGAATTGCTAATGAGCTACTGCCGCTCTGCTGAAGCAAAGTCCCAGAAAACGGCACAGGTTTTGTGAGTTTGGCTAAAAATGGCATAATCATAATTTAAAGACCACTGGGAATGTTTACAAATAGCTCAAAATATGAGCGGAGTGGGACTTTAAGCATGTATTTATCTGCATTTTATTTTGATCAAATAAGTCTGCAATTATTTGATCAAAAATACAGTAAAAACATGAATACCGTGAAATATTATTACAATTTTGAATAGCTGTTTTCTATTGTAATATATGTTCAAATGTAATTTATTCCTGTGATCAAAGCTGAATTTTCAGCATCATTACTCCAGTCTTCAGTGTCACATGATCCTTCAGAAATCACTCTAATATGATGATTTGATGCTCAAGAAACATTTACTATAAGTTCAAAACGGTTTTCGCTATTTATATTTTGCGGAAGTCGTGATAGACTATCATTCAAAAGTTTTCGATAATTAAGATTTTAAAAAGGAAAGGGCGTATTAAATTGATAAAAAAGCAAAAATAAAGATATTTATAATGTTACAAAAGATTTATATTTCATATAAATGCTGTTCTTTTGAATTGTCTATTCAAAGACTCCTGAAAAAATGTATCATGGTTTCCACAAAAATATTACAAAATTAAAACGGCTTTAAACATTGATAATAATAAGAACCATCATTAACGATTTAGCACTAAAATATAATTCAAATCATCATATTAGAGTGATTTCTGAAGGATCATGTGACACTGAAGACTGGAGTAATGATGCTGAAAATTCAGCTTTGATCACAGGAATAAATTACATTTGAACATATGTTACAATAGAAAACAGTTCTTTTAATTGTAATAATATTTCACAATAATACAGTTTTTACTGTATTTTTTAATCAAATAAACGTAGCCTTGGTGAGCAGAAGAGACTTATTTCGAAAACATAAAAAAAAATCTTAATTTTCCCAAATGTTTGACTAATATAGTACATTTTATCAGTTCATAAAGTCTGTCTGAAAACATTCAGTTTGCAGAATTCAGTTTAAGTACTGGATTCATTCAGAACTAAGTTCGAAGTATATATGTTTTCACACGCACACACACACACAAGGTGCTGTGAAAAAGCAAGGTGTGTGTGTGTGACCTGCACAGGTGCCCTTTGCAACCCCTGGCTGCTCACTCTCACGCTCTCTCCATTCCACCTTGAGTGATTTCTTCCCACACACCGCAGTGGCTGAGTGGCCAAAAACACACCGCCAACTATTTACCCAGCTCCTGAGTTTCCCATGCAAAAGCAAGTCAAAACCTGCTCCGCCAACTCTTCATACTCATGCCTGCACCGTCGCGCTCTTTCTCCATCTGTGTTTGCCTCCAAAACCACATGCGCAAGTTTGGCCTCAAACATAAACAAGCGAGGAGGA